TAACAGTACTTCTGTAGACTTTTGGCAACCCTGCTGTCTTTTCAGTGCTCAAACAATGTAAATCACCATCAGTTTGGAAAACGATCATCAGTATTTTGCTGGTGGACCCATTCTGAAAGGAAACCTTTAATCACAGAGTCCAAAGGCCTGCTATCATCTTCAGGTTGTTCTGAAAGCAACAAAAATTATTGCTACTGATAGTTACTGAGTGTGTGTCTGCATTCCTTAAGCAATTATCTGCTTAAACCAATGGGTGCCACATTCACCGGTGATCATAAAATTTGTCCCTCATCAGAAGAATCTCTGATGTGCTCCCCAGTACGTGATTTCTCTGGGAATTCAACCAAGTGCTGAATCCCTGCCATCCCATGAAGCTACGGGAACAGGTACAGACTTTCTGCCCTTTGCTCTCTTCAGTTGCCTGTTCCTGAAGACACGATGTCAAGCAGGGGCTCAATCTCTCGCTTAGTGACTCTGCGCAGTCTGAAGGGGGTTTGTGTGCCGCCGCTGAGCACAGAACCGGGCTGTAGGAACTGAGGGTCTGCGTTTGTTTTCATGCTGTGATTTCTCGCGCTGTACCATGGGGACTCCTGGAGGGCTGCAGGGCTGCCCCAGTAACAGGTGGCCTTTGTCATTGTGCTGGTTGTCATTGTGCCATATTAACGTGTCAGAAATGTGTGCATATGTGCTCATACACATTTGCCTATCCGATCAAGTCAGTTCAGGAAGGTGCTCCAATACTGCACAGAGCCAGTGTTAGCAATAGCCTGACTGCAGCATCATTCACTGTGCAGCCTGTGAGCAGCTCCTTGCCAGTCAGTCGCAGCGTAATGAGAAGCTGCGAATTCGGACATCTCCAGGAGCCACTGCATGGCTTCATGGATCCTGCATAGTGGCTACTGGTGGTATGGCTGCTGGGCCTGCAAACCTCATGGGTGCTTTGGTTTGATCCTAAATGTCTCATGTTCATGCGCAGAAATGTCTTTGTGGAAAAAGAATTATGAGAACTTATCTGCATTGTATAACTGGTAAACTGTACAGCAGAGCCACAGGGATGTGATAAAACCATGACATAGATGCAAGGAACAAACTGGAAGCAGGATGTACTACTTTGGGAGGGGAGGAGACTTAACTCTAGAAGTTAAGAAGTGGCTCCTGTAGCCAAATACCAGGCTGCACGTGTCTTTTGAAGACAGTCCAATGTACTACATCAAAAATCAGTTTTGATTAAAAACAAAAAATGAAACTGATAAAGAACAAAAAGCAATGGAAGCTTCTCTAATATAGTCGGTACATAGTTCTTGTATGTTGAAAACTTTCAAAATGTCTAGTTTTAGTATCAGACCTGTGAATGTGACAGGTGAAGGGATATCTCCTTGAACACAACATTCTGTATCTGTAAACCACAGATGTTCTGACCAAACAGGTGTAGCAGTGAATGCTGCTGGGTGAACATGGCTGTCTTAAGCCCTGTGTCATGCAGTTCAGATAGCAGTGCATGCTCACTGCCACTTCTGGTTCCCAGGTTAGCACAGCCCTGGAGTAAAGTTCTGAAAGCAGTAGCACTATGAATTGAATTAGCATCCTAAAGCATCAGTGAAAAACAAATCTAAATGTATGTTACTTTTTACCCAAGATCTACTGTCTTTATCCTTTTTCCTCTGAGTCTTCGTAGCCTGTCGTGTACACCACGTGATTCATGATCTGTGCGTACTTCAAAGTTAAGAACGTCAATATAACTAAAGGTGAGGTTGTGTGCATGTTTATGTCCCTCCTAATTTACTGAAATGCATCAAGGCTTTCCTCGTTCCTCTTTGTGCACAAGGTCTCAAACTGAAGCGCATGGGAGATAAGGATGTCAAACTGGAACCCCAGCAGGAAAAAATAAGCACTCATCAGTCTAAAGACTGTAGTCAGAACTTTCTGCAATGTAGAAAGAAGAAGGGGGAAAGAAAGGACTGTGGGAATTACTTAAAAGTAATGTGCTTAGATATGTTCCATGAGCTGAGCCCGTTTCACATGTATGAAGGCTGTTTCTTAGAAGGGCAGGGAGTTTCCTTGTAGTACAAAGTAGATTGTGCTGGCTTAGTTACTAGCAGAGTCGGTTCTCTGATACCATGAAGTCTTGTATTTTCTTAATTTTTATGTTTTACTGAGTTAGTGCTTGAGTGTTTTTACCCTACGCTTTGGTGTATGGTTTTCTTTCAGTTCTGTCCTCACAGGTTTACTCATTTCTCAAGTAGACTACAAAACTGAAGTGGAAAATAATGAGAGCAAACAATTTCTTGCCATGGGGTAAGCACCCAGTGTTGCCCCCAGATATCTTCGCAGAAAACTAACTGTCACAGTTTTTAACTCTGTCCTTGTGCTAATCCCTTGCATCACCATTAAACTGCTTTTGCAAAGTTAGAGGTATATTTTTTTAGCTTGTTTGTTGGTTTTTTTTTGGAACAGTGATATCTTTCTAGGTCTGTCTGACTAGGAAGCTGCTAACAGGACGAATCCTCCAACACTGCTAATTGCAACAAAGATGAGGCAGAACTAGGCTGAACTGAGACCCAGAGTATGTTTAGGTTGGAGATACATTTTCTTTCTACCTCGATTCTTACATCATAAGAGCCAACTAGAGTGCTTCTGGGAAGGAAGCAAACTGGTTATGGTGGGAGTGTCGGGGTGGGGCTGCAGCATGCATTTAAGAAAACTGCTTTAATTCTCCTTGGTGACCTATGTCTCTGATGGAGACATCCTTGGCCCAGTGGGCAGAGATCACTTTGACCTCTTTCTCAGAAACGTCTTTTGTTCAGAATCTCCAGAAAATCTAATACCAGGTCGGAAAGCCTGATTGGAGCTGTGCTGTGTCACAAATAAGTCTGTGACTCCTCACATCAGTCTTTCAGTTTGGCTGAATGATACCTATAGGTAAAATATGTTGGAACTTGCTTTATCGTTATCTTCATTCACTTGGTAATTTGACTAGAGAAGGCTTATCTCTTAACAACCAATCACTGAGCAGAAACAAATGCATTGAAAATGAGGGGACGAATGGAAGGTGAAGAGCTGTAATTGTCCAAACTTGTAGACTGGAAGTTGGTTATGTGGTATGCGTAAGTAACGAAAGACTGTGTGTTCCTAAATTTTATGTAGGGAGCAGTGAATTTTTCAGGCCAAACTGCAACCTGTAGCCACATGTTTATAAGCCCTGCTCAGCTGAAAAGACTTCCTTTTCTAACAAGTCTTACGTAAGAGATGTTCTTCCCTTACTTCATCTCACTTTTTGCATACATGCAGTGCATTTGTTTTTTCTCAGAGGTGAGCAGAAAGTTTTCTTTTTTTCCTACATTTGTGCATCTATTTGTATAAAACAGGCTTCAACAGAGAATCTCTTTGACTTGGAAGAAGAGAGAACCATGTATTATTACAAAGTCATCATCTGTTCTTTCTAACAGCATGTCTCTGCGTATGATCAGAATTCGTACGTTGTAACAAGTTAGCTTATGTCCCACAATTAATTTTATATAAATGTTTACGTAAGGAGTCATCATGTTTTAACATACCTGGGATAAGCTCTGATGTGTAGGTTGCCATCACGATGAAGATGCAAAATGGCTTGCTCTTCACTTTTTAAGCTCTGTATGTACTTATCTCCTTGACTGGATTCTATGAAGCACTAAATGGGAAGCAAGAAGGAAAGGATCACAGTAAGTCTTAATAGTGCTTTTGTCTCCAAAATTCTGTTGCTGCTGGATTGCATTACAGCAGAATTATTTCTGCTTGGAGCCAGCTTGGAGGTCCGTACAGCAGCTGAACTCAGTGAAGAAGTTCACCGGTATGTACGTGCCTGCACACACTGACAGGAACCCACAGGCTGTCGTGCTTGACAAGCCTCGCTCTCCACATACAAATTCTGATGTGTATTGCATGTTCAGAATTGATGCAATCAGGCAAGTAGCCCAGCCTGAACTCCAGTTATATCTAGCTAAACCTGTGGCTGTAACCAGTTTTGCATAGATAGCACTTGAACAGAGCTTGATGTGCTAGTCGAGTTCAGATGGCAGCAGGTAACTGCATTTTGCACAACAAAAACCCCAATGAGTGTTAAGGCTGCATACGGGTGACAGATTTACAGATATGAGTCAGCATGGTGGTACATAAATTTATCACCTGTTGTTCATAAGTAGGAACAATTAACAAAAGTCTTGCAACATGCAGAATTATTTAGGGAATAGTTACACTTAAAAATACATTGACACCACAGACCACGTGATCTTTCAGATGCTGGTGGGATAAAACTTACTTTCTTTAAGGCTAAGGTTTCCCATCCTTTTTTTCAGCCAATGCGGGAGCTTTCTCTTTCCAAAAGATAAATTATAATGAAATCATTCTTGGCTATCTGTCACTGTTTTGGGGATTGGAGAATGTATTGGCTAGATTACTGCTGTGGTGAAGGGTGCAGCACAGAATGATGTACAGATGACACCACCCAGCGACACTGACTCAGACACATCTTAGAGACCTTCCTCCTAGCCCATTTCTCATTCCCATGGAGTAATCCCACACGACTAGCAGCTACAGCAAAGCAGTGGCTTAGTTGCCACAGCTGGTAAGCAAGGAAACAGGATCTTTGACTCTGGAAGCATACCTGTTCCAAAAGAGATGGACTGCCTTTCCAGATGCAACTCCTGAGCAGGGCTGCTATGCCATTTACAGATGATCCCAGAGATTATCCTAGCCCAGCAGTACTCTCGTGAGAGACATGAGAAACACTTGTTTCCTACAAACGGAAGCCACGATGGCAGGTAAAAACAAGAGCTTTGCATTAGAAATGCCCGCTCCTACATATGGCCTGAGAATTTTTTAGTTTGTCTTTCTTTTGATCAGTCAGAAGTGATTCGGGGAAGGGATTGCAGCAAGAGTATAGTGTAGAATATGTTGTTAGATGTCTGACTCAAATACACTTAATGAATGAGAGGAAAGAAGGAACAGCTTCCTGCCTTCTCAGCAGTGATTTTCCTAAAAGGAGAAAACAAGGAGTTTCATTCTTCTTCTTATGCTTGGGGAAGTTGTTGAAATTATAGAGTTGAAAGCTGGGGGCTGAACCCAAATGCAGACCATGGCATTCTCTGTCCAGTTGCAACAAGTCTCCAGGAATAAAACAGGTGAATGCTGCTCATTGCTTTGAAATGTTTTGTGAGCAGAGGTCGGGTGTCTGTCATTCCTTTTCTGTGTAGAGAGGAAGTCTAATTTGCATTGCGTGCATCTCATGGACACTTAGTAGAATAAGGAACCATGCCTTGATAAGGGGCTAGAGAGTGCCTGTGAAGTGATGATTATTCTATGATTCTTAGTTATCCCAGGTGGAATAGCTCTAATAGCAGAAACTGTGCGATCTGCTTAAGAGCAGTAATTAGCATGGCACTGAGGAACCTTGCTGGGATGCAGCAGATCCAGGCTCTCAGTTGGGTATGTGACACTGCTGGAAGAACTAGGTGAGCACAGCTTTCAGAATGCAGCCAGGAGGTGGACGGGGCAGTTTGCAGGTCTGTGGTCTGAATCCCTGAAAATGCTTGGAAGCCTTTTTCAAGGAAGTTTTAAAGGTTGGCAAACAGTTTCCTGCCCAGTCCTACTTTTGTTATTTGCTTCTAAAACATGGGGTGTCGATTTATTAAAGAACTTTCACTTCTGTTTGAAGCAACCTAAATTTAGAAAGGAAGTCTTGGGCTTCTCATTACTGCTGTGTGTGTAGGCTACTGTAGGTCTTGCAGATTCCAGTGTGAGGCTGTGTTTTTAGCTGTTAGCTATGCTGACTAAACTAGAAAGAATAAATAATAAGTATTTATTTCCAGATTGAGAACTTCAATCAGGAGTAACGACTGCAAGTTATTAGGTAGGGGTTGCAAATGGATTGGTCAGTAAGTAATTACTGAAAGATGTGTAAGATGTGTGACTGTATCCCCTACGCACCTACAGTGCTCAATAATTTATCCATCCTTAAGGCACTGACAATTTTCTATCAAAAGTTTTCATCTTCCAGAACAGTGTTGGGTTTTTTTCTTTTTACCTTGTTAGTAAGCTAGAGGGTTAAACTCTGCTTTAGGAGATAGTTGCAGCTCCACCAAAATAAGCAGAAGTTCGTAAGTTTTTGTTGCTTGGAGTTTCAGGGAAAAGAGAAACTGTTTTTGACTGAACTTTCCGCAGAAGACTTCTGACTTTCAGATATCTCCTTTTAAAAACTTAATCAGCTAAGCAAGACATTTTAGTTTAGGGGCCATTTGTCTTACTGATCAAAACTGAAACTTTCTGCAAACGGAAACACTTCATACAAAGACCTGTAACTCTCCACAGTTTCGATGGAGATAGTTCTGAGTGCCACAGGCCAGCACCACTTAGTAGCATTAGACTCTCTTAGTGCAGTGCGGGTCAGATGCAGTATTTATTTTCCTAATTTTAGTGAATTCTGGAAGCTATATTCTTGTCTGTTTTCCCTTGTTTTAAGGAAACAGCTGACACTGAGATAAACCAAGGTGAGCACAAACACTAGAGACTTTGCATTTCCTTACACAACAAAGCTGGAAGAAACCCCAGAGTGGATGTCAAAGGGCTTGCCAACCCTGTTTGTATTAAATAAGGATATTATGTGTGTTAAAACTGGCTGAGTGCGGCAGGCCTGACTTGGCCACTGTTGTATCGCTGGCGTTTTGGATGGTATAATGAGGCAGAGCTTCTGCAGGCCGCCTGCCATTGCAACCTGAATTCCTGGACCATCTGCAGTCATGGACAGTGACCTGGAGGGAGTCTACAGAGCTGAGGCTTGGAGGCAGAAAGGAGAAGATTTTTTGGTAGTGATGTTTAATGCTTGTCTGTAGCAGTAATTACCTGTTTGCATCTAACCAAACAGGCCTTATCTGGTACCAGCTGCCAGTCTGCAACTGAAGGCACAGCTAACTTGGCTTAATACTTCTGCTAGGTTAGTAGTAGTATTTAGGTTTTCATTCTTATGGAAACTTAATCTACAGCATCATCCTGCTGCCAAGACATGCAACAGTCCCAAAGATGTGTTCTTTCCTCTTTTTTTTCCTCCTGTGTTATTCAGATTGCCCTATTTGCCAACATTGACTAATTTGTGATCTGAAGCTAAGAGCTTTGAAGTTAATGGTTTCCTCACAATGTAAGATTTCAAGTTGAAGGTAGTAGCATCTATTCCTTCATTCCTTTGCCAAGAAATGAGCTACTGGGGCAAGAGCAATGCAGTGGTGATGCAGCACTGCTCTTAGCTGAGGCCCACTGTAGTGTTTGAGAGCTCCTTACAGGCTCTTGTACTCTGTATCAAACTGCCTTGCCCTGCTTCTTAGTGAAGGTACATTCATTTCCTAAAGCACTGTATAGAAATTACTCTGATTGTTGATGAGACAGATGACTTTGTGATGCAGTGTAGCAGCTAAGAGCTATTTGGAACAGGGCGAGAAGACTTCAGGAGAGAAAACAGTTGCCCAGGTGTCTTTGTGATGGCAATTCCAGTCCTGCAGGAATCTTGCAGTAAGAGCTCTGAAACGTGCTGACCAGCCACTGCTGCAGCTGCTCTTGCACAAATAGTTCAGGGTTAGCACACTGCTGATGTAAAGATCTCTAGGGGGAGAAGAAAATGCCTGCTACCTGTCCACCTTTGGAGGCCGTTTTTTTGCAGCCCCTCGCTTCACTTACTTTAACAACTGCATGAGGCATGACAAGAATGCTGGCTTGCCCTGCGAGTGGGGGCAAAGGCAAACAGACCCTATTCTGATAGACTGGAAGTGTCCACGATGTGATATGTGTTTCCAGATGCTTCATTTTCTGCCTTGTCACAGAGCTTTGTCACCTGGCTTCAGCACTGCAGACCTCAGAGACCCCACGGGAGATCCTGACTCAGCAGTTCTGCACAGTTCTGTCTTGCTGGAGCCTGCAGGTGGGTGCAGGGTGAGGGGGAAGCACACGATGAAATGCATGGTCTGATCCTGCCTCTGTATTCATCACAGATCCTGTGCACAATAAATAGGCTGGATCAGCCTTTTTTGTCATCCTGTCATCGTGAGGAGAAGAGCCTGGAGTGAGGTCTCTAAAATACGAGGCATGGCCCCTTTATACTGCAAAGAATAATCTCCACATTCAAACTGTACTTTTCAGGGTGAGTTAGCAGCACAGTGCTTCCTGTCAAAGGGCCTGTGCTGTGGGAACAGTATCAGCAAGCACTGCAAGTCTCTGCATTGCTAGAATTCTTTGGAGTTCTTCTAAATGCTGAGCCTGACTCCAGCTGCTTAATGAAGTTTGCTGTGGCTCCAGGATTTATCTGGCCTCAAATTTTGAGGCAGAGGACATGGAGAAAATTGGAGAGCTGTTCTAATGGATGAGGGATTTTGAAATTTACCAGTGAGAATGGTTTGTTTATTTGGGGAAAAAAGATGGTGAGGCTTTTTCCTTGAAGTCCTGATACCAGGACAGTCCTTTTTCTCTAAAGTTATGAAACAGTGAGGAGACTTCACAGCTTAAAATCTGAGGCCAAGTGAAATGTGGGTAGAAAGAGGCAGATTGATCAGTGACCAGTTGGTGGTTTTGTGTTTGGTTTTGTGTTGTTTTGTTTTAATCTTCACTGCTGGGGTTTGGGGAAGGTAGTTGGCAATACAGTCTCAAACCTGCTTCCAGATGCTGACAAGTGGGAAATATACACGCATTTGTGGCTGAGAGCAGGTATGAACCTATGTGACCAAGAGATTATTTATTTTGGTTATTGTATCCTATAATACAAGCAACAGTTATTCTTCTGGGTGCGTGCATTGATAACTTTTTTAAAAGTATTGAATCTTCTACTGGAGCAGTTTCCACTCAGCTTTCTGCACTCAGCCCAATTCCCATGTTTATCTTAACTTTGTTTTGCTACTCAAAAGAATCAGCTCAGATCTCCTGTGCCCAGAGCCTGAGACCCAACTTGGCAGCCTCTATCAATCTACCCCAGCCAAAAATAAGTGTGACTTCGAGGTCAGGGCATTCCTCTCTTTTGAAACTCCATAGTGTGTCTACTGCTGCATGACTTGTCCAAGTTTGACCTATTTGTAGAATAGTATCTATCCTATCTGCTGCTCATCACTAAACGATGCAGTGAATGCTTTCCAACCTGGTTGCCTAAGATATTAGGTGCTTAATCTACAAATGCCCAAGTGCCACTCGTGAGAACAGCCAGTACTCTTGCTGCTGCTTCAGATGCCCAAAGGCAGAAAGAAAAAATGACTTCCATAAAAGCCAACATCAGACAAGTAGAGATCATCACAACTCTATGCAGATAAAGGTACCTTTTTTCTAAATTGTTTTCTCATGTTCTGATGAGCTTCCACTTGCCATCTGCCCTTTACACAGTTGTCATACCATTATCTGTTCTTTCAGAGACAATTCCATTAGATCTTTCAGTAGGTTTTAATCAAGTGTTATGGGGTTGCTGGTAAATTATTTACAGTCATATCACTTGATAAAACACTTGGTCTGCTAAAGCTATCACGTAAGTGACCTACCTGTAGCAAAAAGCACAGCTGGCTTTGACTTAGGACCCCACTTGCGTTCCTTGGGGTTATTCGGTTGGCATTAAATGAATGTCAGGCTATGTGAGCCCATGTTTCACATGCAGTAACACATACTGAATATGGCCGTGCTGAAAACAATGGAGTTGAAGCACC